TGATTACAGATTCTTTATTGTTCAGTAAGAGTATTCTTAGAATGAAATCTTGCCTTGCTTCTAGCATAGCTTTAATATATTATAAGGTACTGTATCTTAAAGTGTATTTTTAAAAACCTAAGTCCACGTAAAGTAACAATGACAATAGTCATCCCAATTTCTGATTATAACCACTGTTCTATTTTTACTTAAATCCAGTACAAATCAGCATCTAAAGTATGATTCACACGCTTCAGGCAAATTTCATAATCTCTAGAACAAAGTGATTGCTGGATTTAATAGAATTCAGTTTTCCTAAGGTATGATTTTTAAAAACCACTCTTATGGCTTGCTAGGGACTAATTATTAATAGTCTTTATTTTTTGGAAGTAAATTCTGTAATAGGAAGTAAATATTCTTATTTTTAGAATTGAATAGAATTCTTTGTTATAAAGACTCACCATATTCACTTTAATTATTCTTTACTTACTTTGAGAAATTTATGTTAATACCTCAAGATAGAAATGAAGTGTTCTTTCCCCCCCACTTCTATCCTATAATACCTAGTTTGATGTTAAATATATTACTAGAAATCCTTAATGCTTTAAGCTTTCATTTAGGCATATTAGCTTGGTAAAGTTGTGATATAAATATTATAAGATCATAGTCTCTAAGAAATGAAAGAGGGTTTTAGCATCATTCAGCTTGGGAACGAGGATAATGTCTTATTTATTTCTGTATTATAGTATATAGTATTCTTATCCAAATATTTGTTAAAATGATATATGAGTTAATGTGTATAATCTATGCCTCTCATTTTATTTTATTTTATTTTAAACTTCTTTTTTAAATTTTGAAGATGTGTGGTATGATTCAGGGGTATACAAATGTTCATTATGCAGGTACCCTTATTGATGGGGGGTACCCCCCTTCCCCTGGCAGTTTCCTATTACTGCCGATCCCTTTCTTTATAGTATTATGATAATTGTTCAAGGTCCGCTTATGAGTGAGAGCATGTGGTACTCAGTTCTTTGTTTCTGTGATAGATCACTCAGTATTATAGACTCTAAGTCCATCCAAGTTGCTGTGAAGTTCATAATTTTGTCCTTTATGGCTGCGTAATATTCCATTGTGTATATGTACCACATTTTTTTATGCAGTCCTCTTTTGATGGGCAGCACAGTTGGTTCCATGTTTTTGCTATTGTGCATAATGCTGCAATAAACATGAGTGTGCAGGTATCTTTTTCATAGAGCGATTTGCATTCCTCCACGTCTATTCTGAGTAGGGGGCGGTTGCAGGGTTGTATGGAAGATTGATTTTTAGATCTTTTAGGAATTGCCAGGTTTTCCACAGAGGTTGTACTAGTTACACTCCCACCAACAGTGAAGGTTGCCTTTTCCCCACGTTCTCTTCAGCATCTGCTGTTTTTTGAGTTATTGATCATGGCCATCCTGACTGGAGTTAGGTGGTATCTCGGTGTGGTTTTAATTTGCATTTCTTTGATGAGTGAGGCTGAGCATTTTTTCATGTATTTATTGCCCACTCATATGTCTTCTTTTGAAAAGTATGTATACGTATCTTTTGCCCACTTTTTTTTTTTTTTGAGTTGGAGTCTCACTCCGTTGCCCAGACTGGAGTGCAGTGGCCGCTCCTGGCCACCGCAGCCTTGCCTGCTGGGCTCTGTCGATCCTTCTGCCTCAGCCTTCCGAGTAGCTGGAATTACAGGCATGTGCTACCATGCCCGGCTGATTTTTTTTTATTTTTATTTTTTATTGTAGAGATGAGGTCTCGCTGCCCAGGTGGGTCTCGAACCTGCGGGCCCAGGCAATCCACTCACCTCAGCCTCCCAAAGGCACGGGATTACAGGCTGAGCCACCGAACCCGGCTTACCCACTTTGTAATGGGACTTTTTTTGGTTTTGTTTTGCTTTTTATTTTTGACACATCTGAGTTTCTTGTAGATCCTAGATGGTAGGCCTTTGCCACATATATAGTTGGCAAATATTTTTTCCCAGTCTGTGGGCTGTCTCCCTGCTCTCTTGATGGTCTCTTTGGTGTTGCAGAAGCTTGTCAGTTTGATGAGGTCCCACTTGTCTATTTTGTTTCTTATGTCATGAGCACTTGGAGTTTTGATCAGAAATTGTTGCCAGTTCCAATTTCCATAAGGATGTCTCCTGTATTTCTAAGGTTCTCATAGTTTGAGGTTTTAGGTTTAGGTCTTTGATCCATTTAGAGTTGATTTTTATATATGCTGTTGGATATGGATCCTTTTTTAATCTTACACATGTGGTCAACCAGTTTTCCTAGCACCATTTACTGAATAGGTTCTCCTCTCCCCAGTGTTTGTTGGTGGAGGCTCTGTCAAAGATGAGTTGGTTGAGAAATTGAGGTTTTGCTTTCATAATCTCGATCCTGATTCATTGGTCTATATGCCTGTTCTTGTACCAATACCAGGCTGTTTTGATTATTGTAGTTTTATAATAACGTTTAAAGTCTGGGAGTGTCATACCTCCCGCTTTGATTTTTTTTTTCCCCCTAAGAATTGTTTTGCCCATTCATAGTCATTTATGTTTTCATATAAATTCCTGTATTGTCATTTCTAGGTCTGAGAAGAATACTGTTGGTAATTTAATGGGTATTGGGTTAAATCTATAGATTGCTTTGGATAGGATGGACATCTTAACAATGTTGATTCTTCTAATCCATGAGCATGAAAGATTTTTCCATTTGTTTGTGTCATCTTTGATTTCTTTGAGAAGAGTTTTATAGTTTTCATTGTAAAGGTCTTTGACTTCTCTGGTTCAGAAGATGCCAAGATATTCTATTTTTTTGTGTGTATGCCCCCTTTTTTAAAGCACAGACTTCCAAAGATTAAATGGTTTTATAGGTGTAAATAACTGGTTAATATCAAAAATAGGACTAAGAAATGCAGATCCCTTAACTCTAGTGTTCTTTTCACGATACACTACTATATGCTGGAGTAGTTTTTTCTTTAGTCATATGTATAAAAATAATGACAAAAGTAAAATGAATGATGCATAGTAAGCATATACACACACATAGGATATTGTATATGTTAATAATATAATATTTTTGGATGCCCTGTTTTGATTGTAAGTTTTAAACTGTAAGAGTCTATGACTTTATATAACTGTAATCTAAAAGATTTGTAATTAAATCCTAAATGTTTTATATATAAATATAAATGTACAACACATACACACACACACATACACACACATCTGTTTGCTTAACTGTAAAACATTTAGGGAATAGGCTATTTCCCTCATTTACTGCAATGCAGTGCTTTCCCCTTAATAGTTCCAGGTTAGCATCTACCCTGGTTTTATATTTGTGTGAGATCTTATTTTTTTAATTTTAATTTTAAAAAATTTTTTAATTTTGAAGGTGTGTGGTACAGTTCAGGGTTAGGTATATAAATGATTATTATGCAGGTAACCTTGTGTGAGATTTTAAAAGTGGAAGGTACACAGAAGCCATTATTTTTAAGCAGTAGTGGTTAACAGGCAGATGTGAAAGTCTTAGTGGCTCCTGGGCAAGTTCCTGTTAATTGACCACCGTGATGCTGTAGGCTGCCAAGATAATTAATGACAAATTCCCAGGGACTCTTGAGATTTACAGCAGCTTCCCAATGTCCATTTTGAGAACCCTTGTCTCTGGTTCTTTAGGCTAAGACTAGTGGCATTAACTTTCTGCCTTTATTCCTCTAGTCCATTCAACAGTTATGTAGTTTCTGATTCCTGTGTTAAAACCTTTCCTACCTGGAAAACCGAGAGTGACTTCTGTTTTCATTAGTGAACTTCGATTGATATATTGGCAGGCTATATTCCAGTTGTAAGGGAAAACAGATTTGGTGACACCAGAAAACTTTAGAGAAGAGTGATGATTTTGCTGATTTGGGTCATTCCACTCAACTTTTTCTCTACTCTTGCTTTTTTTGGGGGAAAAAAAGCCTAAGAAATTCACAACTGAGCTCTTGGTTCTTGATCACTTTTAACTTCAACCTACTGCTACTCATTCTTCTGTTCACGTTCTGGCAAAATCCCCATAGCAGTTAGTCTAAACTCTTTCTGTTATTGTCAGGATTCTAGTCCCGTTACTTTACATAAGTAGTGGTTGACATTACCTGAGTTCATTCTAGGGACTAGGACAGTGTGACTATTTTGTTAACAGAGTATTATGTGTGATTGCAAGGTCCACTTAGTTTACCAGTTTTAGAAGGGTAGATTGAGAACTTAATACGAGCAGTCAGATGTGAAGACTGAGTAGACAAGTTATCACCAAGCTGACCTTAATCTTTATGAAGATGGAATAAAAATAGCAATCCTTTCTGATTTCTAGAACTTTTGTAATGAATAAATCCTTGTTGTTGGTATTTACTTAAATTGCTTATCTCAAGTTAGATCACTGTAAAAGGGTTGGAGACATAATAATGAAATGAAGATTTAGATGAACCAATACCAGGAGTGATTTAGGTAGATAATGAATTAAAAAAAATGATGTCTAAGAATCAGCACTTAGTTTTAGTCAAGAAGTATTCAACTCTTGAGCCATGTTAGTTTGATATCATTACATTTCCAAGTAACTTTCCTATCAAGGTGTCAGGAATAGAGAGAATGGAAGAATATTTTTTTTCTAAGCTACTGAATAGCAGTTGGAGGCCTGCAGAAATGTAGCAAGCCAAGCAAGGAAACTAGAATAAACGCTATTTTACAGCAGCAGACTATGATGTTGATTCTCTAATTTCAAGCATAGGTATATTCCGTGTATAGTGTTTGAGGCATTTAATAACTACAACAAAAGTATCTTTTGAATGACTTACTTGAACTGAATAAAATGAATACTAGTGAAACCATTGTTATGGTATGCCTTTAAAATGAAATTTTTTAAATGGTAAAAGAACATTTAAATTTATCCATCAACCTTCCAGCGAATCTATCAAATGTAAAATTGTGTAAATTTTGCTCTTCTCATTGTTCTTTTCCTTTGGTTACTTAGGAAAAGAAGTCCATCGGTGTCCAGAGATCAGAATAGAAGATACGACCAAAGGGAAGAAAGAGAGGAATATTCACAGTATGCTACTTCAGATAGCGCAATGCCTAGGTCTCCATCAGATTATGCTGATAGGCGATCTCAGCGTGAACCTCAGTTTTATGAAGAATCTGATCATTTAAATTATAGGGACTCCAGCAGGAGAAGTCACAGGCATTCCAAAGAATATATCGTAGATGAAGAGGATGTGGAAAGCAGAGATGAATATGAAAGACAAAGGAGAGAAGAGGAGTATCAGGCACGCTACCGAAGTGATCCGAATTTGGCCCGCTATCCAGTAAAGCCACAACCCTATGAGGAGCAAATGCGTATCCATGCTGAAGTGTCTAGAGCACGGCATGAGAGAAGGCACAGTGATGTTTCTTTGGCAAACGCTGAACTGGAAGATTCCAGGATTTCTATGCTAAGGATGGACCGACCATCGCGGCAAAGATCTGTATCTGAACGTAGAGCTGCCATGGAAAACCAGCGATCCTACTCAATGGAAAGAACTCGAGAGGCTCAGGGACCAAGTTCTTATTCACAAAGGACCACAAACCACAGTCCTCCTACCCCTCGGAGGAGTCCAATACCCATTGATAGACCGGACTTGAGGCGTACTGACTCATTAAGGAAACAACACCACTTAGATCCTAGCTCTGCTGTAAGGAAAACAAAAAGGGAAAAAATGGAAACAATGTTAAGGAATGATTCTCTCAGCTCAGACCAGTCAGAGTCAGTGAGACCTCCACCACCAAAACCTCATAAATCAAAGAAAGGAGGTAAAATGCGCCAGGTTTCATTGAGTAGTTCAGAGGAGGAATTGGCTTCCACACCTGAATATACAAGTTGTGATGATGTTGAGATTGAAAGTGAGAGTGTAAGTGAAAAAGGTAAGTTATCTATCACACATTTTGCTGTAATTGATTAGATACGAATTTTTTTAGGTTATATTTCTGAGTAAACATTTAGTAGTTAGATATTATTACTTTGAAGTCTTTTTATGATGTTTGTCATGTGAATAAAATTTCAAGTTATAAAAAGTATCTTCTAAGAAAAGTCACATATAAGAAAAGTCTATTGACTGTTTAAAATTTCTTTCTTGCTTTATTTCTGAAAGTTTTCTTGCATCATTTGATGGCATATATAAAAATATTAGCTGTAGTTTTAAAAATAACATTTTTTGTGTTTTCTTATAAAAGTAACAATATATTTACTAGAGAACATCTGAAAAAATTTTCAAAAATTTTTAAAGAATGAAATACAAGTTATCCATATTCCTTTCCCCCAGATATAACAATTATTAACCTTTAATTGTATTTTTTCTTTTTTCTATGCTTATATAGTTTATAGATCTATAAAATTAATATCATACTGTGTATAATTTTGTACCCTGATTTTTTTCAGTTGATGTCATAAGTATTTTTTCAAGTCATTAGATATTCTTTAGAAATAGGTTTTAAGTAGCTACTCTTAATATTCTGTCAGAAGAGTATACCACAAACAAAATTCTTTATTTGGGACATTGCAATTGGTTCTAATTGCTAATTTAAATAACATTTTAATATTTGTTTTTATGTATGATTTTTTCTACATATATATATATTACTTTAGATTGTTTTAAACTTTAATTTAGGTTACCAAATTGCTTTCCGAAAAGGTTGTATGTAACATGCTTTACTCTTATCAGATGTGCTTGAGCCTTTGGGTCTTGGTGCACCATGTCTTTGCCAATTGAGCAGGTCACAAAATGCCATCTCTTTCAATTTGATTGTGAAGTTAAAAATTTTGTTTATTGGCATTTGCTATCTTCTTCTAAGAATTATTTATTTATTCCTTTTATTCCTTTTGCCTACTTTCTTAGAAGTATTAGTTTTTTTCTTACTCATTTATAAGAACTTTTTGTATAGGTAGGATTGTATCCCCATTTACTGTTATTTACCAAATATATTTCTCATTTTGATGCTTCTCTAATTTTGATGTTTCTCTAATTTTCTTTGATAATTTGGAAATATTGAATTTAATATAACTAAACCTTTTTATATGTGGTGATTTTTCCATTACTTTCATCCTCAAATCAATTAAATATTTAATTGCATATTTTCTCATTTTTATTATTTATTTATTTAACCATTAACTTTTAAATCTTTCTGGAATTTATTTGGTTGTCTGACAAAGTACACCAAATTGGTGAGTATCATAACAACTCCCTTCCCTGATTTTCTTATACCATTTGTTGACTTTCTCACTGTAAGAATCAATAGGAATCAGTAAGGGAATTCAGGAAGGCAACTAGGTATGGAAGTAATATAGAATCATTTCACACAGAAACAAATTAATTAGTTAGAAAATATAAATTAAGAGTAACAACTAACAAGAAATGAGGGAGCATACAGGAAGAGCTACGAAATTTTGCTGAGTAACACAAAGTGAGTAGAGGTTCATTATGTTTCTAATTAGGAAGGTTAAATACCATAAAGTTGCGTGCTCTTTCCAGATAATCTCTTGGAGGTAATAGCATTCTAGTTATAATCCCAGTTGGACCCTTGGAGTATATGTTATTGCTCAAGTTAATCTGAAAGAAAAATCACTAGTAAGAATAGCTAAGGTTAGGGAGGGGGAACTCACCTGACCAGGTATTAATAAAACAACAATAATTAAAAGTATGGTACTTTTAGAAAATTTGATAGATCGGTGGAATTCTAATATCATATATTGAAACTAATAAATGATAAAAATATAAAACACACCACAATCCAAGGAGGAAGAGATAAATTATTTAACAAATAGGCCTGGGGAAAATGGTTATGTAGTTGAAAAAAAATCAAGTTAGATACTTATTTTATAGTCAATGCATTTAAATGATAAATTCTAAGAAAATTATGTTTATTAAAATATAATTTGTAAATAGCAACTATACGTCTTAATGAATTTTATTACAGAGTACATAGAAATTTTATTTTCCTGAAGTGTAATACTTGCCCAAGTATATTTAGTTTGATTATTTTTTTACATTTACCTGACTGTATCATGATAGTAAAAGTTAAGAAAAGGATAGTTTTGTTATCTTTGGTGTGTTTGGTTTAGATTCTACCTGGTAGGTACTTCTGTTATGTTTTGCTAAAGTAATGTAGTCACTGTTTTTTACTTTATTTTATTATAAAGATGTGGGTAGCATTCACTTTTACCACATAAAAATGTAAAAAAAAACAAAACAGAATTTTTTTGCGTCAGTACAATGCTTGAAAGCTCTTTATATGTAATATCCTTCCAGGAGCTTATACCTTTTTTTTTTTTAAGGATTCTGAAGTATCCATTTGCAAAAATCTTATATAAATAAAAAGCTGTGTGTGAATTCACTTAAAATCCTGTGTGATACTATTTAGCAAAACTAAAACATTTATTAGATCTAGAAAAAAGCATGTCACTTACATCTGTATTCTTCCCTAACTTGAACTATTAGTAGACACTCTTGAAGATAGTCTTCTTTCTTTCTTATCTAATCATTTGTTTCCTAGAGTACAGTTTCCACCAACATGTATTTCCTATGGGCAATCACATTTTAACTTGAATTTGGAGGAGTAGATATGAATAAAATACACTTTTTTTTTTTTTTTGAGTTGGAGTCTTACTCTGTCGCCCAGACTGGAGTACAGTGGCCGCCTCCCGGCCACTGCAGCTTCAGCTGCTGGGCTCCGGCAATCCTTCCGCCTCAGCCTTCCGAGTAGCTGGAATTACAGGCACGCGCTACCACACCCGGCTGATTTTTTGATTTATTGTAGAGATGAGGTCTCGCTGCCCAGGCGGGTCTCGAACCCGCGGGCTCAGGCAATCCACTCACTTCAGCCTACCAAAGCACGGAATTACAGGCTGAGCCACCGAGCCCGGCTCAGTAATCTTTTTTGTTTGCTATTCCCCCAATGGTAGAATTCAGTGAGAAGAAATTATAGCCGTTGAGAGACTGGGATATTATGGGAAAGAGATTGAACTGTGTCCTCTCTTGGCTTTTTATCATTAAAGTAGTATTTTTGGTTATTTGTGGGAAAAGAGGCTATGTGATTTGTGTATAAGCTACTTTTTAAGACACCTAGCATTGTGATTCATTCTTTGTAGTAAACTAATATTTGAAAGTTTTTCTTTAATAGTTAAAGAAGTTGTATTTGTGGCATTTAAACACACTTTTTTCTATGTATTTATATGTGAACACATCATTCTGATTAGGACCAACAAACTTTTAAAAGATAATCACCCCTTTGCTGTATTATCCCTAAGCTAAATAACTCTCAAGTATATCTTTTCCAACTCAGATATCTTTTTTATTGTCTTTATTTTTCTGTTTCTATTCATTTTGTGCACAATCTTTCGAAAACATGCAAGGCAAATTTGCATCAAGCTATCTAATTTTAAAATGTAAACCAAACCATCTAGATAGCATTAGTATTGTAGAAAGATTCTTTCTAGGCTCCAGCACCTTGTAGCTTCTATTACATAGCAGATTCTTTCTTTCCTGTTCTTTAAATAATAAAATTTCTTGGCAATTCACAGCATGTTTATAATTCTCTCTACTTAAACATTTTTTTCCCCTCTACTGTTCTTTTGGTTAGTCTGGACTTTCTTCCCCTTTTTTCTTCTATCTTTAGCTTTATTAGTGCATTGGAGGGTTTGTCTCTTCTCTTACTCATTTGTCACTTTGGATGGTTTAACTATTTTACATACAGAGTTTCACTCAAATCTGTAATAGATGTCATTCCGTTCACTATGTTCTGATCAAGGATGCTGATAATTACAATCCGTAAGTGGGCCATTTTTTGTGTAACAATAACAGGGAGTAACAATAGCAATAACCTTGTTAACCACTCTAGGTCTGTTTTCTTTCCTATACATCCATAAATCAGAATGCTAGGATTTTTATTGTTTGGGAACTATAAGGAGCAAATGAGACTATGTGTACACTGTCAAACAGTAGGTATTCAAATTATTTTTAGATTATTTAAAGTTCAGTAGTAGTCAAGACTTATACAGGACAACTCTCAAGAGTTTTGAGTGAAATATAATTGTGGTCATGTGGATTGTGGTCATTTGTGTTGGTTTCACCTCTCACAAGGTCTGTCCCATGTTGAACAAGGCTCATATTTTCAGGCTAAAAAGTATATACTTTTAAACTTGTTGGTATGTCATTTTGAGATATAATTCAATGTCTCTTTAAATATTAAACATAACACCTATTTACTTGTTTTTCTGCCAAGTACTTTTTCAGTGCCTGCTATTTGCAAGGTGTTGGATTGGATCCAGTGGAGAATGTAGAATTAAATAACAGTTTTCTTCTACCATAGAAATTGAAGTCTAGGCCGGGCTCAGTGGCTCAGCCTGTAGTCCCAGCACTTTGGGAGGCCGAGGCAAGTGAATTGCCTGAGCCCAAAAGTTCAAGACCAGCTGGGGCAACTTGGCGAGACCTTGTCTCTACAAGAAATCAAAAATTAGCCGGATGTGGTAGGGCACGCCTGTAGTTCTGACTACTTGGAAGACTGAGGCGAAGGATTGCTGGAACTGAGCAGGTTGACACTGGGGTGGCCGTGAGTATGCCACTACACTGCAGCCTGGTTGACAGAGTGCGACTCCAACTCAAAAAAAGAAATAAAATAAAACAAAGAAATTGAGAGTCTAAAATAGCTAGCAATATAAGGCAATTGTATTACATATAGGTAGGATTTCAGAGGAGAGAAGCATTGGTTGCATCTGCTGATTTTGCGTGCTCTGTATGTCTTGTAACCCTTGTCCTTTAACTCTTAGTGATACAGTTTGCTTTTCACAATCCTAAATTGATAGTATTTCCATCCATACTTTATGCTGAGTTAGGAAATTGCAAACTTTTTCTTTTTGACTTTGGGTTATG